AGACAGTATGATTTTATTCTTCTTTGGCTGAGTCAAACTCTATTGACTATGTATACCATATTGACTTTATCCATTCATGTATTGATGATTCCGAAGCTAATTCTGTGACTTGGCATTTGATAAAAGTGCAGCAGAAAACATAGGTATCCATGATTCTTGTGGATATATATATACCCACAAATAGTATAGCTACGTTATATAACAGATGTATACTGCTAATTTTTTTGTAGAACCTCCATACTGATTTCTATAGTGACAATTTTTTTCTTTTTAAAAAGTTATTTTTATGTGTATTAACATTTTGTCTGTTTGTATATCAGTGTAAAGGTGCCAGATATCCTGTTACTGGAGTCACAGACAATTGTGAACTGCCATATGGGAGCTGGGAATTGAACCTGGGTCCTCTGAAGGAGCAGTCAGTGCTCTTAACTGCTGAACCATCTATGGGTGGAGATTACTCATTCGTTTGCTGGCCACCTAGACCTGAAAAAAATCACACAGAAACTATTAATTACAGTACTGTTCAGCCAATAGCTTAGGCATATTCCTGGCTAATTCTTATATCTCAATTAACCCATTTCTATTAATCTGTGTGTTAGCACAAGCCTGTGGCTTACTGGTAAGGATCTAGATTCTGTCTCCTTCGGCAGCTACATGGTGTCTTTCTGATTCCACCTACTTTCGCTCTGTATCTCTGTTTGGATTTCCTGCCTGGCTTTACTCTGCTAAGCCACTGGCTGAAACAACTTTATTTATTAGCCAATAAAAGCAACCATATCTCATGTCTCCTCCATAGTGACAGTTAATTAACATTCTTACCAGCAATGCATTGTTAAATTTGCCATACATCCTAATCAACATTTGCTCTTTTAATTTTCTTGTAGATAGCCATTCTGCCTGGAATGAGATGGAACCCACTGTAACTTTAATTTATGTAACTTTGCATTTCCCTGGTAGTTAAGAATGTTGAACATTACTTATTATCTATGTGTAGTTCTTCATTTGAGACAGAGTTTCTCTCTGTGATGCCCACTTATTCTTGAACTGAGATCAGCTGATCTTCCTGCTTCCTCAGCCTTCTCAGTGCTGGGATTACAAGTGTGTACCAACACTCCTGGCTGCAAATGTCTTCTTTTATCTTATGTTTTCTTGTATATACTATGTTGTCTGTCTGGAATATCTTCATCTAAATCATTCTGTCAAGATTTAGCTCTCATACCTTTTAGGCCAATCATGGTAGCTTCCCTTTAATGACAGCACTTGAGAAGAGGCCGGTCAATTTCTTATGAGTTCAAGGCCAGCCTGGTTCCACATAGTAAGCCTCTGGTCAGCCAAGATTACATAGTAAGAGACTATCTTAACACTGTTTCTGTCATAAGAGTACAACCTTCTTTTTTTAAAAAAAAAAGTTTTTTATTGCATTGTGTGCACTTATGCACCCATACACCCCACACTACTAATGTCAGGGGACACTTTATAGGAGTTGATCTTTCTGTTCCATTATGTGGGTCCCGAGAATCTTTAGGCTTGGTGGCAAATGATTTTGTCTCCTGAACTGTCTCTCTCTTCTTGAGGGTGTGGATATTCTGTCTCTGGTCCATCTTTGTATTTGTAGTGCTTAGCAAATAAGTGAGTAATAAATTTTTCATAGATTGTGGACTGGGCATTGTTTTTAAGATTAGAGTCTCATTTTCTAGCCTCTGCTGGCCTTCAATTTAAGGTCTTCCTGCCTTGATTCTACATTATTACTGTTATAGGTGTGTACCTTCATACTTTACATTTTTTAAAGCTTTTTCTCTAATGAGAATAATTTCTAATTAATCTAAGTCTTGGTTTTGTTAAGAAAATTTTAAATACCAAAATTCTTACAGTATGTTAAACCATTAATTAATTTTAGAGTTTCAGAGAACTGCGTATACCTTTATTCCATTAAGAGCAGGGGTCATGTTTAAACTCTAATATAGTGATAGAAACGTGGTAAATATTTTTAAAATTCAAAGAAAAGCATGCATACTTTTGAGAAAGAAATGACATTCTGGATTCTTTAAGAACCAGTTGCTTGAAAATTTCGTAATTGTTTCAGTGCAATGTGAATTTTGTGAATTCACAAACATTGTATCTACACGTCATATGCAAAGCCTGATGCTTAAACTGAGGGGAGACTTAGAGATCTAAGAAGCCTTATGCTCCTTTCATAGGCCCTCAGAAGTAAAAGTCCTTGATTTGAGATGTGTTTACTTTGGAAAGAGAAGTTAAACTCTTATCCTTTAGTAAAGACACTGTCCAGTCTCTTACTTTGCAAATAATCTCTATAGGTAACAGTAGCTCTAGTCATATATTATTACATTGTTAAATTGGGTCAATAAATGCTTTATTAGTGTCTGTGTTTTTTGGCAGCAGAGGGCAAGTATAGGTCAGTTGGTCTTTGAAGCAGGGCTTCATTATATAGCTCAGGACAGCCTTGAGTTTGAGATCTTCCTGGCTTGCTTTTTTTATTTTAAATCATTGAAACTTCTAACTTTAATAAATAGGCTATATTACAGTGAAGAGGGACTTATATAATAGTTTGCACCAATGTGAAGAAAGTAAAGATCTTTCTACTCCTGTTGTCTTTAAGGTGCAGTGCTTACTAATGCAACCTTCCCAGGGATTTAATACCTCTGTCCCTCAGAAGTCTTTCTTATTACAACATTTTTTAACCCTCTTATATGTCTAATATGTCTTAGAGACATATGTCTCTAATATGTCTTAGAGACACAGCAGTCTTCATGAGGCATAGAATATAATGTATTTTGTGTTACAATAAGCGTAGTTCATTGCTCAAGTTGAGTATCTCTCATCCAGAATGCTTCGGCCAAAATATCTTTACATTTTCAAAATTTTGCATATATTTAAAAGAAGACTAAATCCCAAACATGAAATATAAATGAATTCCATGTTTGGGATTTAGTCTTTTAAATATATGTGTGTGTGTGTGTGTGTGTGTGTGTGTGTGTGTGTGTGTGTGTACTAATTGATAGTTATATATGTCAAATAATTTTGAGCATGGAACAATTGTAGTATATAGTTTATCACTTGAGACATGTCAACATTCAAAATCTGGATTTTTAGAGAATTTTGGATTTTAGATTTTCATATTACTAAATCTCAGCCTATAATGCTTGTACTTTAATAGGAGCTTTAGACTCAAATTGACTTGAATTTGACTTCTAGATGTTTGGGAAATGATGTGGTTTACTGCTAAGGGCTTTGTATGATACTGGAGTCCTCTAGGGCTAATTTAATATAGGCTACAGTTTTTATATTTGAGTGAATATGTAAGAATAAAAATTCTGTAGGTTGTAATGTTTAAATGAGATACTAGATCTTAAAATTTTTAAGTTCATAACTGATTATTCATTTTGCAGTATTTGTTAGTATTTTTTAATTTTGTCAATATTTATCTGTACCAAAAATCAGAAGACCACAGAATAAAGTAATGTGATCAAAAATTGCAGCTAAGTTTTCTACACATATAAAATAAGACAATTGAGAAGAAATAATGCTTATTCTTATTACCTTATATAAAGAGAGGATTTCTATTGTAATGGGGGTTACCAATAAGCAAATAAAATTATATAGTAAATTAGGATATGATACATGTCATGATAAAGAATAATATATAGATGGAAAGTTGATGAATGACTTGGAGAAGGAAGACTGAACACCAAGATGGTGGGGGAAGAACATTCCACCCTGAGGACACAGCAGTAACGATAAGACTAACACTCAGGAAGTGTCTGAGTACTTTGATGTATTTACTTACTGAAGCCTTACTGTAAGTGTTAGAAGTAGGCTGAGTGAGGCCTGGTGGCACAGTCCTATAAATCCCAACTATTAAAACTAAGGCAAGAGGATAAAAGTTTCAAAGCTTCCTGAGTGAGTTCAGGGTCAGCCTGAGCAATATAAACATAGTAAGACCCTGTCTTCAAAAGTAAAAAGAGGACTGGAGATATAGCCCAGTGATAGAGTAATGTTTGAGTGTGCTGTCACACGCCTTTGATACTAACCTTCAAGCATTGGCAGGCAAGTCTTTGTGAGTTCTAGGCCAGTCTTGTCAATATCATGAGTTCTGGGCCAGCCAAGACTGTATAATGAGATCCTGCTGAAAAAATAGGGCAGGGACAGGAAACCTATTCTGCCATTTTGTAGAGGAGGAAGTTGAAGTATAGAAAGGCTAAGTCTAAAAACTGAACGAACCTGATCCATCTTCTTAGGAAATACTACATACACCAATATTGCTGTGTGTGTGTGTGTGTGTGTGTGTGTGTTTAAAAATTCTGTATCAGAAGATAACAATTTGATTTTTACCAAGTTGCCAAAGGAGTTCATATATAGTATACAAAATTTAAAGCAATGAAGATTATTGGGGTTGCTCTGATAAAAGTAGACTAGAGAGGAAGATACAAGAGCAAGAGAAGAAGAGAGAGGGCCAGAAGATGGCCCAGTGGTTAAGAGCACTTGCTTACTCTTAAAAAGAACTTAGGTTCTATTCTTAGTACCTGCTTGGCAGCTTGCAACTGTCATTAACACGATCTGATGCCATTTTCCTACCTCCCTGGGCTTCTACACACACATCGTGTACATATGCACTCAAGTGTGCATGCACACACATACACATAAAATACTATTAAAAAGAAGAACAAGAGAGATAACATATTAGGAGGCATTTACAGTGATCTCAGAGAGAGAATAACAAATTGGACAGAAAAATTACAAAGGTGATAATAAAAAGTAATAAGATGTTGGATGAGTGAATGTATACTACATGAAAACATGGCCCCAGGTTTTATATCTATGCAAATGGAAGGATGGATCGACCATTTATAAGATGGAGTTGGAGTATGTTTGTGGAAGATCAGAAAATGCAGTTTTGGGTGAAAGTGTGAGAGAGTTTAATGTACAGGCAGTTGGAAACAAGAAAAAGTGGTTTGAGATTTTGTTTTGGTTTTTTTTTGTAGACTATGAGAAGACAACGAAATGAAGTTGTAGTTGAATTAAGGAAGGTAAGTATGGTTTACTGTTGGTGTTTTGAGAAATAGTTCTGATAACATATATAGAAAATATTATATCTTTTGCAAAATATACAGTCTGTTGTATAACGAACTTGTATTTATTGAATATAGTTAAGTTTTTTTCAGTCTCATGTGCTCAGCATTTCTTTTTTTCCCCCCAAACAAATTTTTTAGCTAAGCCTAGAGAGCTGTTGAAAAGTGGGCAAGTTGTACCTTGCCCACTTTCCGTTAATGAATATGAGCAAGTTTATTTTTTTTAACTTTTAGTGATTTATGTAAAGTGTAAGCCATAGTGAATCGCCCAGCTTTTGCTTTGACTCTGCTTTTAGGTAATAAAGAGTCACTTCCAGATGATGTATAAAATTTTGAGTGTGTTGTGTGTGTGTTTCATTCTGGCTTAAAACTGTACACTAGCCATTTTAGTAGAACTATTTTGTTTTGACAGTAGTTCACAGTTCACTAGAAGTTAATAGTGTTTGTGATTAGGGTCAGTGCTTATTTCACAACTGGCTTTAATTTTTTTGAATTTGTTTTTACATTTAAAAGGCGCTTCATTATTTTGTAGCGCACGGGATTTTGTATTTTGTATTTGTAGGCACGGGATTGCTTAACTTTTAATGAAAATTAACTGGTTTTCATATGTGAAATTCTTCTTTAAAGAATAAAAGAGATGAACATCTCTTAAAGAGAAGAAATGTGCCACATGAAGATATCTGTGAAGACTCTGACATAGACGGTGATTTTAGAGTAGTAAGTTATGTTATTTTGGTAATCTAAAACTTCCAATGGAAGATTTTTTTATAAAGGGAACATTTAAAGATGACCTTTTAACTTTTGTTTTCTCTTTAATTTCTTGCCAGCAAAATACCTCTCTAGAAGCTATTGTTCAAGTAAGTTTGGTTTTATTCACCTCTCTTTGTACTTTGTGGACTAAACAACTAATTACTGTGTATTATGTGATAAATTGTTTTACTTTTTTTTATAGAATGCTTCAAGTGATAACCAAGGAATTCAATTAAGTGCAGTACAAGCTGCTAGGTGAGTTAAATGCTCAAAGTCAAGTTCTTCAGATCCCTCACTTAGATAACCAAGTGCTTATATTAGTCTAAGCAGTAAATTGAGTTATAAGCATAATGTATCATGTATAACAAGTATACATTAAATATATATTGCTACATATACACTAGTGTTTTTCTAAGCCAGAAATGCAAAGTTATTTTGTACATTTCAGTTGTGAAACTTGTGTTGTCATATTTTTAGGAAAAAGCCAGAAAAACTTAGTGAGGAGCTGAGGAGATAGCTCAACCTGGAGAGTGCTTGCTGTGCAAGCTCGAGGACCCAAGTTCAGTCCCCAAAACCCATGTAAAAAGCTGACCATGTAGTGCTGGCCTGTAGTGCTAGCGCTGGAAGTGGAGAATAGACCTATCCTTGGGGCTTCCTGGCCAGGCAGCATAGCTGACTTGGTGAGCCTTGGGCCAGTGAGAAACCCTGTCTCAAAACACAAGGTGGGTAGCTCCTGAGGAATGGATTCTGAGGTTGCACCTCTGATTTTCACTTTTTTGTGCATGTACACATACATGAGCACACACGTACATATACCCAATTTATTGTTGAGAAAGATCTTTGTATGTTGAGGAAGACATGGTTGTGTTATAATTTAACATAATAGTTGCTTTGTATATTTATAGATATAGAAGGATTATTCAAGCAAAAATTATTTAAACAAGATACTGGTTGTAGTTGATAAGATTTTAAAGTGCAGAGAATTTTCACAGATTTGTGCAATATTTTATCAAGTGTGTGAATCTTTTATATTTTATTACATGTTCTGCTTATGTGTATTTACCTTAACTAAGACAAATGGGAAAAATGTAGCACTGCCACATTATTGTATCCCATAGGCTTAAAAACTGCTTAGAGTTTGGTATAAGTTAGATCACGTTCTGAAACGGCAAATTCATGTTTGTAGGAAAGGTGATTAAGGTACGACTTTGAACTGGGTTCCAGAGAAATCCTGAGACAATTTCAGGGATATATAAGAGCAAACTGGTTTCAAGATAATTTTAGTACTTATTATTTACCTTTTTTTCACTATGTTAGCAATGTTTTTGCAAAAGGAACTACAGATAAAACTATTGAGCCTTAACACATATCAAGACCCTGGCACCAAAGTGCTTTTTTGTAGGTATTGTACTCTTTATTATGAAATGAGAAAGGGAGGGTCTGGACAGATGGCTCAGTGGTAAAGAGCATTCGCTGCTGTTATAGAAGACCTGGGTTCAGTTCCCAGCGCCCACAGCTCACGTGGTAGCTCACAACTATCCATAACTCCAATTGTAAATAACCCCCTTGGATTCAAGACACACATGCAAGCAAAACATTCATATACATAAAATAAATAAATTTTTTAAAAAATTAAAGAAGATAAAAGCCCCTGATTTTTATCTACACTTATGCTAAATACTGTGCTATGAATTATGGACAATACTATGAAAATACTATGCAATATTATTTTCTTGATTTTAATAGAATATTTTTATTCTTTATAGGAAAATTTCTTACATGCCTACAATGTATTTTGACCATATCTACCTCCCTGCTCTCGCTTCCCTGACTCTCCCTCAACAGATTCCCCTTTCTAACTTCATGTCCTCCCTTTTAAAAAAGTTCTTTTAACCTTTGAGACCAATTAGTGCTTCTTGTCCACTGGGGCTTGGGCAACCTACCAGTGGCCACATCTCCAAAAAGAAATGACTCTCTCAAAAACCGTCAACTGCCACTAGGAGTGAGGTCTTGTGGACCCCTCCCTCATCCAATGCTGGAATAGCTTGCTCTTGTGAAGGTAACCATGCCTGTTTGTGAGTTCATGAGTGCCATGGCCATGGTAGGTCCTGAAGACAATATTTCACAGACTGGTCTTGGTCCTCCAGCTCTTCCATACTTTGTTTACCTGCTTCTGTGATGTGTGCTGCTCCCTGAAGGGAGAGCATGCTAATAGAAATATCCCATTTGGGCTGAATACTCAACAGTGCTTATTCTTGATACTTTGACCAGTTATAGGTCTCTGTATTAACCATTACAAAAATATTCTGACCAAGCACAAATTGATAATTATAAACATTAATATTTAGAAGGCAGTTTGGCAACATGATGATTTAGCTGAACTACAATTGTATATTTACCCCTAAGGACTATCACTTCCCTAACTTTTGACCAGGTTTACAGTTCCTGTATGAATTCCCTTCTGTGGAACAGAAACAGGAAAGCCCTTTAGGTGGCCCTTGTTAATAGTCAGGCTACCTTTGCATCAGTGGGTTCTTCTTTCCTGGCATGTCAGTATTGTCCCATGCTGATCCAACAGTGATTACAACCTTTGGTGTCTGTTCTCCTCCACCCCCACCCCACTCACCCCTCTCCCCAGTGGCCAACATTGCCCTTCCCACGCTATGAAAACTAACTAATACAGAGGTAGCTTTTGGGTCAGTTTCAGATTGATTTCTTTATGTCCTGCTAGTATGTAAATTTCTCTTTACATAGAAGTTTAGATTCTGGTCTGCAGGTATATAGCTCAGTTGGTGCTTACCTAGTTTGTACAGACTATCAAATCTGTATACCTAGCTCTGTTTAAAAGTGGTATATTTTCACACACCTGTAATCACAGTTTTTGGTAGGTAGAAGCAGAAGGATCAGAAATATATGATCATCCTTAGCCACATAGACAGTTTGAAGCTAACCTTGGATATATGACAACTGTCTTTAAAAAAAAAAAAGAAAAGGAAAGAAAAGAAAAAACAGTAGTAGTAATAGTAGTAGTAATTGTTTAGAATTTAATTGGAAATAGGCACCCAGTAGCAAACATGGGACTATGCTGTACACGAAACCTTAGATTTGAGAGGTGGTACGGAACCTGAAATAAATAGATGGCTAGCCATTCCGAGCAAGGAGAGGAGGATCCAGAGTGTTTAGAGATGAGATCACAGTGGTACCAGGCTCCAGTTAGGAAAAGTGTAGCCTCCTTATGCAGCAGTTGAAAGGTAAAAGAAGGAGTTTTATAGTCATAAGATGGTGAGTAAATAACTCTGCCTTATATGGGGACAGTTTATATAGGTTGATGCTCTGACTAGCATTTTTTCTTTTGGTTTTGGTTTTTCGAGACTGGGTTTTCTCTGTGTAACTACCCTGCTTGTCCTGGAACTTGCTTTGTAGACCAGGCTAACTTTGAATTCACAGATCCCCGCCTGCCTCTGCCTCCTGAGTGCTGGAATTAAAGGCCTGGGCTGACACCACCTGGCTGTGACTAGACTTTCTTGAACCTTATCTTTATGTAGTTGTACAACAAATTCCAATAAGGAGAAGATTTATGTTAATGTTGTTGGGCTTTCATGATATTTAATAATATATAGAGTGGGGTGAACATTGTGATCACTTCTGGTATGCATAATTTTTAGGTATTTTGAAAACCTATTAATTCCTTTTCTAGCAAAGTAAAAAGTTTGTCTACCTTTTTCTCTAAGTGTAAAATTAACTCTGAATATAGCACATGTAAAAATATTTAGTTGTGCCACACCTTAAATGCTAACATTCAGGAGGCAGAAGCCAGGACTACATAGTTAGAACCTGTCTTTTTAGGAAAAAAAAATGATTGCCATATTACCTGCCTTTTTAGTTGCCATATTCCTAGCTGTGGTGAGGGAATAGTGTTGTATTTATAAAAGTATCAAAATGTCTACCATAGTTTTCCAATTAATGGAGCTACTTGTAGATTTAATTTAATAATCTTTTCATGAGTAGAGAAAATACTGCATTATATGAAGTATAAGAATTAACTTTCAATGTGTATTCTTACACATCTCTTCATATTTACAACAGTGCCTATATTCTATGTGAATGTGAACTCAATTGTAATAATATATGGCATCAAGTTTTACAAGCGGTATCTATCTTACAGGAAACTTTTGTCCAGTGATCGAAATCCACCAATTGATGACTTAATAAAATCTGGAATATTGCCTATTTTAGTTCATTGTCTTGAAAGAGATGACAAGTAAGTATATAATTATTTTAAGTTAGACCATGTTCTTTGGAAAGGGTAGGTTTTCTAGCTTAATCTTAAAAGAAAAAGATTCAAGAGGTAGAGGCAAAAGGGTCAGAAGTTCAGAGTTTACTGACTATACATAATGAGTTTAGGGACAATCTATACTAGAGACCCTGAATCAGAAACAAAAACCAGGCATAATGATATATGCTTATAATCTGAGACCTAGAAGTTTCAGTTCAAGGCCAGCCTGGGCTTTGTAGAGAGAGATTTTCTGAGAGAGAGAGAGAGACAGACAGACAGACAGACAGACAGACAGAGGTGAGAGAGAGAGAGACAGAGACAGAGACAGAGACACACACAGAGGGGTTATAGGATAGAATTGAAAGTTAAAACCATGATAAGCACCAAAAACAAATTTGAGGATGACTTTATCGTGGGAACTTGGGAATCTGGCAAGATACGTGCTTGAAAACTGAGGAATGACAGTAAAAATCTATTTTAGTAAAGATAGAGCTAAAACTACTAAGAAGGGCATTTGGGGCACATGTCTGAATTTCATCATGAAATGACTGGGTTATATTTTGAAGGATAGATGGATAAGTAAACTTCGAACAACACATTAAAGAGGGAGAAAAAGCTTACTAGATATGTAGGTGAAGTAAAATGTGTGGTTTAAAGTCTCTTGCTCTTTGTTCTAGTCCTTCTTTACAGTTTGAAGCTGCATGGGCTTTGACAAACATTGCATCTGGAACATCTGAACAGACACAAGCTGTGGTTCAATCCAGTGAGTAGTTAACAAAATTGTTATCCTCCCACCCCCCGCCCCATTGGTGAAAGATAAACTGTGCTGGTCAGGCATAGTGGCACATGCTTTTAATCCCAACCCTTGAGAGGCTGACATAGAAGGGTCATGAATTTGAGGCCTCATCTTTATAAATAAATAAATAAATTCATAGATCCTCCTAAAAGCTATATTACAGAATAGTATCTACCCATAAGACCTAGGGTTGTTGAAGTAGCTCTCCTGAGTATGTTCCTTTATTTGTCTTGTTCTATGGACTGGTAAACCCATTTGCCAAAGTCCTTTTGATTTTTTTTTTGGATTCCTTTCTCTATAATTTATATTATCCAACTAATAAGCATTTTACATCTTGATATGTATGATACTAGTTAGAAATTACCTTAAATCCTACTAAAACTGGTTTTGTTTTGTATGTAGAGTTAACAGGTTGAGTAGGATTTTATGGTTCTATCACTATGTCATTTTTCACAATTTTTTAACTATTTTTTGTTATGTTTTAAGTTTTTTAATTTATTATTTTATTTTATGTACATTGGTCTTTTGCTGGGGCCGTCGTGCAGTGATAGAACATAGAACATGAGGACAGCATATAGACTGCTCTAGGTCTACAAGTTTAATTGTAAATGAAATACGGAATTTTAATTTGGAATTGTTTATATGTTAAAATTTTGATGTTACTTTTCCACAAAAATAATTTTACAAGGAGATGTTTTAAAATAATTTTGGTAGTTTGTATTATGTTTTGTTGGGATCTCATCTTTGTTACGTAATTTCCGCTTTCAGATGCTGTGCCACTTTTCCTAAGGCTTCTGCATTCACCGCATCAGAATGTCTGTGAGCAGGCAGTGTGGGCATTGGGAAATATTATAGGTTTGTATAAAACTTAGAATGCTAATCCAGTAAGTTAGAAAATCGTGTACTAGCCAATAAAAATGACTGCTAATAGTTGATTAGTAATTTCTTGTCATTAGTTTTTGTGAAATTAGCAAAGAAATTTTAATTATGTAACTATATGTGTAAAACAATAAATAGAAGGAGTGTGTTTGTTGCTTAAGTTACTGTTATATCTTTTTGTTGGTAGTCAACTCTTATTGATAGGATTGTAAGATATATAAATTACTTAAATTTTGTTTTATATTAGTGCCCACTTTATTAACTTTCTCCATTTAAGAATAACAATAGGCAAAAATTTAAACCAATAATTTTTCTCTTTATAGTATGCTTGAGAAGTCTAAAATGAAACTTTACATAAGACATTAAAATTTAGTAGTGTATAAAATATAACTTATTATTTTGAATTAACAGGAAGGATCTAATAACCTAATTAATTGTTGAACATTATAAGCACCACCTTTGCACTTATTAATAATTGTAGGGAGAATAATTAGCATAATCCCAATATTTCAAGTGTTCATTTTTAATTAAAGGGTTTGGGGGTGGTTAAGACAGGGTTCTTTTTGTAGCCCTGGCTGTCCTGGAACTCACTCTGTTGACAAGGCTGGTCTTGAACTCATCTAGATCCACCTGCCTCTGCATCCTAAATGCTGGGATTAAAGGCCAGCAGTAGAGGTATTTTGTTTGTTTGTTTGTTTATGGTAATCTGGCTGACCTGGAACTCACCGATCCTCCTACCTCAGCTGGAGCATACACACCCCTTTACCACATGCTGGGATTGCAGCGCTACACCACGCCTGTTTACTGGAGGGCATAGTAACCCAAACTTTTAAATTCAGACAACTAATTTCAGCACTTTTCTGCTGAGTTCAAGGCTAGCCTATACTACATAGCAAGACCCTGTTTGAAAAAGAATCAGATAACCAATAATGGAAAAGTTCTGGATCTGAGTTCTAGTCTGTTCCTTCTATATTTCAGAGCCCTCCGATATGGAGGATGGGGCTTGAAAATCCCTTTTAGAGGTATCATTACTTTGATAAGGGGGGATGCTGGAGATTGTTTTTAGATGATGATGTTTCCCTGTGTGTGTGTGTGTGTGTGTGTGTGTGTGTGTGTGTGTGTGTGTGTGTGTGTGCGTGCTTGCATATGGACTGCAGCATATATTTCCCAGGCTTACCTTGAACTCAGTACGTAGCCCAGGTTGTTTTGATTTCCTGCCTTAACCTCTTTAATTCTGAGGTTATGGGTGTGTGTCACCACAGTTGTTTACATGTGAGTATTTAGTATTGTTCTGATATCTTTTTATTGTCCTCTTCTAGGTCTAACATGAAAATGTTATGATTGAGAGTTTTTGTGGGCAGCTTGTTCTGTGAACTTACTAGTATAGAGTACACTACCTTTAAAAGTGATGTTGCATACCCAGGTGCCTCCCTCCTTTGCTCTTACACCAAGTTTTAGGTATAAAGCTGTTAAAGTACTTCCTAACCTTCCTAATGTTGTAACCCTTTAATACAGTTCTTCATTGCTACGTCATAACTGTTATTTTGCTACTATTATGAATTATAATGTAAATATCTGATATGCAGGATATCTGATATGTGACACCCTCCCCCAGGGGTTGAGACCTACAGGTTGAGAACTGCCCTGTTAAAGGAACATTATATTATTTGGGGTTTTATTTTTAATTCCAGTTATGTTTTGGAATTAATTCAAATACATCACCAGATATTATAGTACAAGAAAGATTTTTTGTGAATTAGTTTTGCTTTAATAGTTATGTAGCTAAAACTAGCCTAGACTCATTTTTCTGACTCCACCTCCAACATGCTGGGATTACAGACTTGTGCCACCACACTAGACTTTAATATTGGATGATGACTATGAATTCTGCAAATATTTTCTCAGTAGTTACTTTGGCATCTCTTGTATTAATTTGAAAGCTTGTTAAACTGAAAGAGTCATTGAGGTAACAGTGACAGATGTCTGCTTGAAGTATATAGAAGAATTGAAGACAGGCAGTGGTGGAACATTGTATCTGTGGGCTCAAAGACCAAGAGTATCTACTTTATATAACACTAAAGAGATCTTACTAAAATACTAGAAGCTACAAATTGTACCCAGTGCTTTATGTTTTCTGAAAAGGCTTACTGTTGATTTATTAAATTAATCCTTCTACAGGTGATGGACCTCAGTGTAGAGATTATGTGATAAGCCTTGGAGTTGTAAAGCCTCTACTTTCATTCATAAGTCCGTCTATTCCTATAACATTCTTAAGAAATGTTACCTGGGTTATGGTCAATTTATGTCGCCACAAAGACCCACCACCACCAATGGAAACAATTCAGGAGGTAAACAAAAGAAAAATACTTAGATACCATTATATGTATTTTTTACATCTGTGTATGTTTTGAATTGTACATATTTCTCTCCTCAGATTCTTCCAGCTCTTTGTGTATTAATTCATCACACAGATGTAAATGTGAGTAAATTCTCTTTGTATAATTATATATGTATGTGTAGGTACGCATGTACTGGACTCCCCTATGATATAGGAGAACAGTGTGTATTTGGATTCGCCCATACTTTACTGTTTCAGGAACTGAGGTGTGTATGTTGTGTCCTTTATCACAAACTAGCTTCAGTGAAGAACCAGCCGTGTCATAAAGATGCAGATAGTTGTCTCCTCACTGCCTTGGGTTTCATGGTCACCCTGTCTGGTAGCCTGACTTTTGAGCCACTAGAGAGACCTTTTACCTCTACCAGTTCTCAGACCACAAGGGCAGGCGATCCTGTTCTCAGACTGCATCCTCAGACTGATTGCTTCCTCAGACTGCTCATACTGACGACTGCCTCACTACACTGAGCTCCTATCTCCTCCTGCCTTATATTCCTCTCTGCCCAGCCATATCACTACTGTCTCCACTTCGTTAGTCGTGGGATTAAAGATGTGGGATCCCAAGTGCTGGGATCACCTTTGTGTGAGCTCTCTTACTCTTTTAGAGCGGATCAATTTTGTGTACCCCAGGGTGGCCTTGAACTAACAGGTCTGCCTGCCTCTGTCTCCTGAGTCCTGGGATTTAAGGTGTTTACCACTGCCTGGCCTCTAGTGGTTTAGCTCTGTACTCTGATCTTCAAGCAAGTTTTATTTGTTAAAACACAATATAACACCACAAGGGGATGTTTTACAGGAGTTAGAAATGTATTTCTAGTTGCTGTACCACTAAAGAAAATATCTCTTCTTCCCCCATTAACTGCCCCCTGAGTCCCTCTTCGTTACATAACATGGTATTGGCAGGCCCAACATTATGCAGATTATTACCGCTGCTCTGAGTTCAAGAATAAAATAGACATGTCGTGCCAAGAAATTAGAGTCATCGATACAGGGTTTCTCTGTAGCTTTGAAGCCTGTTCTGGAACTAACTTTTGTAGACCATACTGACCTCAAACTCACAGAGATCCGCCTGCCTCTGCCTCCCGAGTGCTAGGACTAAAGGCATGTGCCACCACCACCCAGCTGTTCTCAGTATTTTAACCAGTTATGAATCTTTAAAGTCCTCGCTGATCAGTGAAGATAGGAACTTCTCTGACCAAAGCTGATAGAAGCACTGTTACTGTGGATATGAACGGTTATTTAGTAAGCAGTTTGACAGACATATCACATCCATTAGCAAAACAACAGCAACAAATTTCCTACCCCGGGGCCTATAATATCCTCAACCACAGGCTTTTTTTTTTTTTATCAGATTTATGGTGTCAGCTGAGAATTCCCTCCTATGAAACAGGTATTAAATCTAATGAGAAAGCAAATTGTCACACCCACAAGAGACCTGCCACTAATGTAGCCGTGGGCACATCTGTCCTGACTGGTCAGTGCTGATGCTAAACTGTAGATAACAGTTCTTCACAGCAGCCTGGTGCAATTCTGGGGAGAGAGAAGAAAGCTTACATCCCAATTCCTTCTTCTTCTCTCTCTCAAGAACCAAGACATGTGGTTTCTTCAGCAATAGGGTCTTACTATCTAATTCTTGTAGCCAAACAACAGAAGTAAAAATTGAATTGTTTTTTTGAGGAGATAAAATTATTGGGATACTAGTACCAGGCAGTAGTAGTAGTATGCATACCTAAATGGAACTAACAGTATTAGGGAGTTTCTTAAATATATTTGACCTGTCCTAAGTATTAAAAACCACTGTGCATGTTGAATGTGTGTATGTGTGTGTGTGTGTAACTATATACATTGCTGCAGTGCCCTTTGACCTATCATACTGCTTTGTGAACATCTGAGAAAAAACATTGAGTTATTCATTTGGTTTTTGTGTTGGTTGGTTAGTTGATTTTCTATTTAATGTGCTAGGTATTTTGCATGTGTAGTTTGCTGAATTAAGATTAGATACTGATCTGAGATTAGGACCATAATTAATTTATACATCCTAAATTAAGCAAGAAGAGAAGGATCCCAAATTGGTTGTGAGGTTAAGAATTATTAAAATGGCCAAATGGTGGCACATACCTTTAATCCCAGCACTAGTGAGACAGGGGCAGGTGAACCTTTAAGTTTGAGGCCTGCCTGGTCTTCATAGTAAGTTCCAGGACAACTAGAACTATATAGAGAAACCCCCTCCCCCCAAAAAGAAAAAATATTAAAATGAGAAAATATTTGAAGATTTGAACTTTTATTTTAGATATTGGTAGACACTGTCTGGGCCCTCTCCTACCTTACGGATGCTGGCAATGAACAGATACAGATGGTAATAGACTCCGGAATAGTTCCTCATTTGGTTCCTCTACTCAGCCACCAGGAAGTTAAAGTTCAAGTAAGTTCCTTTGGTTAAGATGGATTTTTCTCACCACTAAGTGACTTAAGCATGACATTCAAAGATTAACAGTCTTAACAATGTAAAGCATGTTATCCACCTAGCACTGTAGTGTCTCTTCAATGGGGAAAGGTGAGTTATTTTATCCTAACTTTAAAATGAAGGAAATGAAACAAGAGCACTCCAGTTTGTTAAGAACCTTCCTTACCCTGCCAGACAGGGAGGCTCCACTGTGAAGAACTAATTTCTAATATGGAGAAGCAGGTTTTACTTTTACCTCGGGTGGCACTGAAACCATCTTGTTTGCTTTTTCCGCTCAATTTTCCCCCCTGAAAGCGTCCATTTTTACTCATTAATGAGTTTGGTTAACATTGATTTACTGATTCTGAGATAAAGGATTTGAACTGAAATGTGTGGGTTAAGAAAGCTTCATAATTATTTCTCTATTTTAGGCTTTTTTATTTTTAAATCCTTTCACATACTCTCTATCACAGTGAGCCTCCATCTATAACAAGCGGAAAAAGGCTATGGTGATGCACTTGGGAGGCAGAGGCAGGCAAATCTCTGTGAGTTCCAGGCCAGCCGGGTCTACAGAGTGAGCATACATACGTACACACACACACACACAACTGGAGCTGAGAATATAGCTCATTATAAACAGTGCTTGCCTAACTTGTGCAGAGTTCAGCCTCTAGTACCACACACACACACACACACACACACACACACACACACACAAATAGTCAAACTGCAGTAAAGGAGATAAACTAAGCCCCCCAACCTTTCTAAGGTAAATAATGAGTTTTATTCCTATAATGGCCTAGAGTGTACAGCACAATTACATACAGAAAGCTGTTAGCCGAAGTTACTTTTTCTTGCCCTTAGCTGGACATTGGAATCAACCATGAAGCTTAAAAAAAAATTTTTCCTTCCTTAGCCCCTAGAGATTAAAACCATTATATTTCCTACACACTTAAGCTAACTCTTCAAGTGATATTAGTGTGTAGTTAACAGTGGAGATCTTAAGTCTGTATTGACTACGTTGACTTCAGATTTCAAAGGTGCTTGAAAGATGGGTAACGTGCAGGCTTGAGTCCTGAGTTCAGATCCTCACCACCCACATAAGTGCTGATGTGACAGTTGATGCCTCTAATCTCAGCACCAAGGAGGTGGGGAAGATCCCTGTAGCCCCGTGATCTCCAGGTTTAGTGAGAGACTTTGGCTAAAAAAAGAAAAAAAAGTGGCAAGCAACAGAAAAAAAACAGCTAATATTGATCTTTCAAGCTTATGTACATGCATGCATAAAATAAAATAAAAAGGGTTTCTTTATAAAATTAAAATGCTTTTTAAAAAAATGAAATTGCTAATTCAGAAAGATTTGACCAACAGTAATTTTTTTAAATGTGTGTTTATTGTAAATATCTTTGTTACATGTCTATTAAATTTGCATCTGTGTGTATGGGGGGGTGTACACACATGTATATGCAGCAGATATGCACCCAGAGACCAGAGGAAGACAGTGGGTAGGTGTCTTGTCTCCATCCTACTATGCTAGGGTTATAGATGGACACATGAACTCAACTGGCTCTTTAACAAAGTTTCTGGGGGGTTGATTTAGCAAGAGCTCTCACCTACTGAGCCATCACCCCAATCCCAAATTTACATTAAATAAGTTTGTTGGTTTTATTTTATTTTTACTTGATGTTGGGCACAGTCCTGTGATCCTAGCACTTTCCAGGTGGAGGTAGGAAGAGCACACAACTAACTTAGCTGCATGAGACCCTGTACTCACATACACCCCCAAAAAATTCAAGCAGAGGATTTACTTAGTTTTAATATTGACCTTAGAATTGTGGCTCGAGAGTATAGGGCTTAGATTTTCCTTTTAGCCAGTTCATAGAGAAAGTTAATGTTTTGTACTTTGTCAGACAACTAACAGACATTTTCTTAAAGTTTTTCTCCTTTTATATCATAATTCTTGAAAATAAGATAGTGTAACCAGCTTACAATCGTTTATAGCTCCAGTTCCAGAGGATCTTACACCTTTCTCTGGCCTCCTCAGATACCAGGCACACGTGTGGTACACAGACCTACATGCAAGCAAAACACTCACACACGTTTTAAAGGGAGGGGGTGCAGAAGACTTGGAGTTTTCCAAGGAAGACATAAAATGGTCAATGAGCACCTGAAGGAAAAAAAAGTTCATGACATTAATCATTAAAAAAAAATATGATTTGAATTGGAAAATCATTCACATTCAGAATGACTACAGTTAAAATGGTAACAATGCAGAAAAAGGGAGATTACACTGCTTGTGGCAACTAGAGTATAGTCTCCTTAGAAGTGAAATGTGGAGTACATTGTGATCTCATATTTCTACTGTTCTGCATATCCAAGATTATGGATATGCATTTCTCGCACAGAAACTTATGTAATGTTTGTGTAGTATTATTCATAATAACCCCCAAACGGAAGTAAGCTGTTCCTAACCACATAGCAGATTGACATGAACTTGTTCCTGCTTATATGAAATGTACAGAATACACAGATTTATAGACACAGGGGTGTGGTGGTTGCCAGGGACCTAGGATTGAAAGCAGTGTTGATGACAGTTAATGGATGTATATGTTCTTTGTGAGATAATAAAAATGTTGTGATTTGAGGTTGAGATTGATTGTGCAGCATGGAACACTCTAATAAGTACTAAATCGCCTGTTCTTGAAAGAATACATTTGCATGTTTAAACAGCTGAATCATTTATCTTATAGGGAGAAAAATTAAGAGAAAATGAAAATTACTTATTTTCTTTATGGTAGTAATTACTATCTAAAATTGCCCTTTTAGTGTTATCAGTTCTCTTGAAATAGCTTAAGCTACATAAGGCCTAGAATTTATATAGTTCATCCTCTGTTGTTCTTACATCAGTGCCTGACAGAGAGGTGCTCAGAGGGGATAGGGTACTCTCAGTGAAAGATTTGCATGAGGGCATGAATGTGTCTCAAGTTGTCTGATCTTGTTTGATAAGAGTACTTAGCATTGAACATTTCATTTCAGACTGCTGCACTTCGAGCTGTGGGCAACATTGTTACTGGGACTGATGAGCAAACTCAAGTAGTTTTAAACTGTGATGCTCTTTCACACTTCCCAGCACTTCTCACTCATCCCAAAGAGAAAATTAATAAAGTAAGTCTTTTAAAAAGTTTGAATAAAATTGTAGTTTTTGTTTGTGGAATTAGGTTCTAAGGAATGTCTGTATAGCATTGACTTACTATTTACTGTTAAAGGTTTCAAGAGAAAATATTTATTTCACTCTTTATAGGATGCTCATGGGGTTCTAGATTCAAACTCAGAGCCTTTGACATGCTAAGTACATGCTCTACCACTGATTTATACATTTTTGGCTCTCTTGGAAATGATGAAATAGAGATACTTGGGTGTTGAATGTTGTCGTGAATGGAAATTACTAATACATATAGTAGTTCTAGTGTAATGTTTCATTTATACTTAATAGTGTGAGTGTGTGCATGCGTGTGTGTGTGTGTGTGGTGGCTATGAAAGGGGGCACTGAACGGTGATGCTGATATTGGAGTGCATCTGAGGCTATTGTAGAAATAACGTGGGTTGTTGATTACAATACTGCCGATGATTATAACCCAAAAACAGCTCACCTAAGTAGCCCAGCACCCTAAAATCTCTAACGGGATCATTAAATATCCTGTGATCTGATCCAAAAGAGTCTAATTATGCTAGTACTTACAATACTAATTAATAAATTGGTGAATTTAAGTTTGGTAAGTCCTAATAATATCCTCCATAGGATGTCAAATATTTTGTTGTTGTTTATTGCTAACTTGGATTTTAGCAATACATTTATTATCTTTGAAATTGAAACACTTGTGATCAGTATCATCCTAGCAATAGCCTAGCATCTTTGTGGTTTTTGAGGGCAGCATTCAAAGGTCATTAAAATAGACCAATCAAGCCAACCAACAACTGGTTCCACATTTAGCTCTTGAGAGAGCTGGTACAATGAATGGTTATTATAAATGAGGACACTAAAAGAACTAACTTGCATTTTTGATGGTCTTCATTGTCATGACTAATTGAGATTTATCTACTGGGATAGGACTGTTGAGGTAGACTAGAGAGAGTCGAATAAAGCACATTATTTGAGAAAAGTATGTTGAATCTCATTTGCAATAGTTTTAGGATTTATAGTTTATGACATCCTCCTTGGTATGTATTCAGCCAAGCTTCTTTTGTATCATACAAATAGCATTACCTGTTAAAATTCTTTAGAAGAGTTAGCTCATTGTGGCTTGAATTAGAAACCAGTAGTGATTTATCCAAAGAAATGTAGAAAGAATTATTTAATGTATAAACTATATTGTTATCCAGAAAATTAAGTGTGGAGGACTAGGCATTGTAGCACACACCTTTCATTTCAGTGCTTGGGGAGTGGCAAGTGGGTCTGTAGAGTTCCAAGTCAGCCAGGACTACACAATGAGACCTTTTCTTAAGGGGGTGGGGTGAGCAAGCAGCTTTTAATCAACTAAAGATTCTTTTTTAATACAGAAAGGGAATAGTAAAATTGAAATTATAAGATTTTTATTGTAGAACTCATTCAGTAATAAAATAGAGACACTAGCCAGTGAATACTTTTTCATAGTTCAGACACAGGTTTTATTCTTTTAGTGAGAAATATTAAAAGCATCTTGTTCCACAGGAAGCAGTGTGGTTCCTGTCTAACATCACTGCAGGAAATCAGCAGCAGGTTCAGGCAGTAATTGATGCCAATCTTGTACCAATGATAATACACCTTTTGGATAAGGTAAGAAAATCGTGTGTACCTGAATAAGGCGATATCATAATAAATACTTCCCCATTTAACAGGACACTACACAGTGGTGTAATACTACTATAAAATACAACTGATTCTAAAACTTTTGAATAATGTGTAGAACAAATGTTTCTCTTTGAAAATCCCTGACCCTTGTCATTTCTTGCCCAAGATAGCCATTGCTTTGGAATTAACTTAAAACAAATGGTATCATTACCAGTAATCAGTTCTGTCATTATTGTTCTAAGCATTTTGCAAATATTACCTCTTTTAATATGACAAGCTGAACCAGCAAGATTGCTCAGTAGGTAAAGGTAACTGTCAGTGAACCTGATGTCCTGAGGTTTATTCCTGGGACCCAAGTGGAGAAAGGAAAGGAAGAACCTCCTCCCCACAGATTGTCCAACACAAGGGTTATCTCCACTTGGCAGGTGAAACGATTGCATGAGCAAATCCTTGCCCAAAATCCAGAGGCCGGTGAGTGTGCTATTGTGTACCATATCATTCCTTACACTCACTGAGATTGGGAGAAAAGACTGATTTGTTTTCAGATAGTTATTGATTATTGTTTTGATTCCTTATTTAAAGAGTGACAAAATGATGACTTTCCAATTCTCCCATTCTGCGTGTATTGCCACATTTCTTCAGCTTTTCTCTTTTATTTTTTTAATTAAAATATAATTACATCATCTTTCCTCTTTCTTCCCTTCCAGCCTTCCATGTCCTCTCCAATTTCTCCTGTGCCTCCTGACCACTATCACAAATTGATGATCTTTTTATTATTGTTACATTATAAATGCATAAATATATATAAATTCAGAATGTGGAATCCATTTTTGTTGCTTGTGTATATACATTTAAGAGCTGACCATTTTATATTTGAAAATTAATTAGGAGGATCATCCCTGCGATAGGTTTATTTCCTGCCTCTCAGCAGTCATTAAGTACCTGCAGTTCTTTGTCTAGGGGTGAGACCCCATGAACTGTCTACCTTTGACATTAATATAACTTGATATAGGTATTATTTAGGATGTCTTCAGGCTGCCATAGTGTTGAGGTTTCATGGGTACAGCTTTTCTGTCATCTCTAGGAGACATATTCTCACAGCCATCTTTCTGGTTCTCTGGCTTTTATAGTCTTTCTAACCCTAACTTCCGTGACGTTCCTTGAATCTTAAGTGCAGGGGTTGTGTTGTTGATGTATCTATTGAAGCTAAACACCCATGATCTGTTGATCTCTGTGTTATGACCACTTGTGGTTTTCTGTGATGCTCTCTGTTTGCTGTGAAGAGAGGCTTCATTGATTAGGGATTTTTACACCTGTGGGTATAAAAATAGGATTTAGAATATAATTAGAATTGTGCTGATCTAGTAAAGTGGCAGTAGTAAGTTCTCTGCTAAGATTCATGGCCTCACTAGTCCTGGGTAGTTGGCTAGGTTCCCTTTCTCTCCCCTTCCCTCCCCTCATCTCTCCTCCCCTCCCCTTCTCTTCTTCTTGAGACAGGGTTTCTCTGTGTAACAGCCCTACCTGTCCTGGAACTCACTCTGTAGACCAGGCTGGTCTCGAACTCACAGAGATCCACCTGCCTCTGCCTCCTGAGTGCTGGGAGTAAAGGTATGTGCCACCCGGCTAGGTTTCTAGTTTCAGGGATGATTTCCTCCTGTTAGCAGCCCTAAGTATAATTAGATAGCTGCTGGTTACTGCCAACATATAAGTACCATTATTGCACATTTAGGGAGCTCTTATCGTGCTAGTTATGGTTCATAGGCATCACATAGCTGGTTAGGACTATTGATTGCTTCCTTCTCTTGGAAGTTTTTATACTTTCTAGTACTATGGAAACCGTGGGAAAGGAAGCATTCAGGTTAGATCCAGCTTAAAACTTCCTAGTCTTGTATTCTAAGTGTAAGATGTCATCAGAAATAGTGACTTACCTTCAGCCATTGAGTGACAACCAAGGGTAACAGCAATAGCCTGTATTGTTTAGGAATCTCTTGAACCCCTCTGACCAACAACTCAGACAGAGGTTTCTCATGCCAGGTACTGGGGGTTTTGCTAGATAGTCTATGGCTCTTTCTGTGAGCATTGCTGGCCCACGTGCTATACCTGTAAATAAGCTCTATATGTATGTGTATATTTAGATAAGTCTAAATACATAGCTGTATATATGTATTATATAATTTTAAATAAATCTAAAATAATACGATTTCCTTGAGGCTTTATTAAAGTCCCTTGGTGCTGTTTGTCCTTGAAGTGTTTAGTCCCCAGTTTTCCCATTCCCCTGTCACTCTCCTCTCACCCCTGTCCCAGCGCCTTTATAATCACTCCATGTTGTATACTCAATCTGAAGATTTGGAAGTAGGAACTGCAGATGAGAGAGAACATATGGCTTTTGTCTTTCTGGGTCTGGGTTACCTCATTCGACATAATATTTTCTAGTTTTATCCACTTATCTGCAAAGTTTATGAATTCATTTTTCTTTACAGCTGTATAGAATTCCATAGTGTATGTCATTATCCTTTCATCTGGTGAAGTACATTTAGGTTGTTTCCATTTATTGTGAATAGGGCATCAGTGAACAGGTGACCAGGTATCTGTGGAGGATGTCAAGTCTTTGGGGCTTATGACGACAAGTATAGCTGAGCATTATGCTGGGTTTATCTTTAGCTTTTTGAGGGTTGTCTGTAGTGTTTCCAGAGTGACTGCCCCAGTTTGCATTTCTGTCGGTGAATGAGGGCTCCTTTTTCCCTGCGTCTTCCCCAGTTTTGTTGTTTTTAACCATTCTAACTGGGATGAGATAAAATCTTTTTTGGTTTTTTGAGACAGGGTTTCTCTGTGTAACAGTTCTGGCTGTCTTGGAACTCGCTTTGTAGACCAAGCTAGCCTCGAACTCATTGAGATCCACCTGCCTCTGCCTCCCAAGTGCTGGGATTAAAGGCCTATGCCATCATCTCCTGGCCTGAAATGAAATCTTCAAGTTACTTTAACTTACATTTCCCTAATCGTTCAAAATAGTGAATGTATTTTGAGGTATTTCTTAGCCATCTTCATTTTTCCTACTGTGAACTCTGTTCAGATCCCTACCTGTTCTTAATTGGGATATTTTTCCCCTAGATTTAGTTGTTTTTTGTTTGTTTGCTAGTTTTTTGTTTGAGGTTTTTGTTTTAGTTCTTTGTTTATTCTGGATACTAATCCTCTGTCAGATATATTGCTGGCAAAAGTGGGTTTCTTGTTTCCTCTGCTATATAGAAGCTTTTTAATTTTGTTAGGTCCCATTTGTCAGTTGTTGGCTTGAATTCCTGAGCAAATGGAATCCTATTCTTAAATTCCTTTTCTACAAGTAAACTTTGTAGGGTACTGTCTATATTTTCTTGTAGCAGTTTTAGCATTTTAGGTTGCAAATTGAAGTCTTTGATCTACTTGGAGTTAGTTTTTGTGCAGGGTGGTAGATAATGGGTCTGTTACATTCTGCTGCATGTAGACACCAAGTTTTCTAGCACCGCTGTTGAAGATGCTATCTTTTCTCCAGTGTTTTTAGCATCTTTGTCAGTGTCAGATGCCTATAACTATGTGTGCTCTTGTGTGGGTCTTCTCTTTGATTCCATTGATTTACATGTCTGTTTTTGTGCTGGCACCATATTATTTTTTTTCCTATAGCTCTGTAATATAGCTTGAAGTCTGGAATAGCAATCTATCAAATATTGTTCTTTTTGCTCTGGTTTGTTTGCTTTGGCTGTCTGGGATCTATTTGGATCCATATGAATTTTAGGATTTTCTTTCATATTTATGTGAAGAATGTTCTGAGTATTTTTGTTTGTTTGTTTTGGTCTTTTTGAGACAGGGTTTCACTATGTAGCTCTATTTATCCTGGAACTCACTGATGTAGATCTGCCTGCCTCTGCCTCCTGAGTGCCAGAACTGAAGACATATGCCACTATATTTCTGGCTGGTTCTGGATTTATTTAATTTTGTTTTTAAGATTTATTATGGCATACAGTATTCTGCCCACATATATGCCTGCAGGCCAGAAGAGAGCACCAGATCTCATTACAGATGGTTGTAAGCCACCATGTGGTTGCTGGGAATTGAACTTCTGCAATCATTCAGTGATGAATTGTTTAATCCCCATGCATTTATGCACTTAATAGAGATTTATTTGCTTTAGATTCTGTTTTATTTCATAATGCTCAGATTTGCTTTGTGTCTGTGGGTACAGTCTATTTTAGGGGAGCTTCTGTGGGCTGCTGAGTGAAATGTGTGTCCCATGGTGTTTGAGGGACAGTCTGCAGATAATGTGTAGAGACACTTCGTTCTGAAGTCCTCTGTTGTTTTTATTTGTCCAGCTGTCATACCTATTGGAGAAAGTGGGAGAAACCTACAGTACTAGAAAATACTTAATAGTGTTATTGGGTTGATGTTAATCTGCTTCTTTAATTCCGATAGTGTGCTTTCTGTGGTACATGTATGTTTTGGAAAGTAATGTCATGTTGGTTAGTTGTTCCCTTGATTGCAGTGAAAGTGCCCTCTTTGTCCCTTCTGATTAGTTTCAATCTGAGATCTATTTTGGCAGATATTAGAATGGCAGCACCTATTTGCTTCCTAACGCCCTGTGTTTGGGATACTTTTTCCACCCTTTATTTTTAGGGTGGTACCTATCTTTAGAGCTAAGCTCTTTGTAGGCAACAGAATGAGAGATTTTGTTTCTTATTCCATTCACCTAGCCTATTGATTGATATTTAATCAACCTATTATTGATGACATTTATGTTGTTTCTGAATTTCACTGTTAAAATTAGTGGCATTTTAAAGAATAGCTTGTGAGTTGTGGAAGCATCACTGTGATACTCTAAAGGCAGACACAGTCCAGTATGGAGTTTGAGGCTAGCCTGTGGTAGGTATGGAGACCCTGGTATTTCCCAGGTTATATTTAGCATAATTGGATAAATAAGAAAATGTTTCTGCGTAATTCCCTTTTGCCTCTGGAAGATTGTACCCATTTGTACCCTTAGCTGCATCATAGATATTTACATTTCCTTGTGTCTCATTTCCATTCTAACTTAGATTGCTCTTATTTATGAATATTTTTTCTTAATATAACATTGTTTCCAGGAGTGTAGTCTTGATTTTTAATGGCTTGGGTTATTATTTGATTTTGAAAATTTACTGTATTATGTATCTGCTGAGAATGTTAACTGAGTCTGTTTTTTGTCTATTACTGTGCTATAGCCATCTGTGGGGAAATGTACATTATTAAATTATTTTTCTGGTAAAATCACCAAGATGAGATTACTGAATTCTACATGTGCCTTTTTAAATGTTTTCAGTTTGTATTTGTTTAATGAAATTGCATTAGACTTTCATTTACTCTAATTTTGAATAGTGATATTGTCATATCCCCCAACCTAGAGAATTCATAGAAAATAATTATTTCTTCAGAATAGATTGATTGTGGTTCAAGACTTATCAGTAAATAAAAATTACACATGTATAAACATACCAGAGAAACTTGGAAATGAACAGCTGAAAATCAGTTTAGAAAATGTCTTTTCAAATTTACCATGTATTCTTTTTTTTTTTACTTTGTTTTGTTTTGTTTTTAAGGGAGATTTTGGCACACAGAAAGAAGCTGCTTGGGCCATAAGTAACTTAACAATTAGTGGAAGAAAAGACCAAGTAAGTTGAACTTTTATTTCTCAAAAGTAAAAATAACAGTATGGGTAATTATAGAATACTATATTTTGTAGATTGGATTTGGTTTTAGGCTGTGTGTGAGCTATGTGTGCATGTGTTCATACACATCACACATGCCAAAGATGGAGCCCATTGCTTAGCCTGTATTCTGCCACTGAGATGATTACAGCTTCAAACACTGTTCTGCGATATATACGTAACAGTATCTTCTTAACTTCCTTTACTCATTTTTCTTAGGAAAGACACGGTTTTTTAGTGGTTACAGTGCTAAGCATTGAGCCTAGACCTTTATGAATACCAGGCAAAGTGTTATCCACCAAATCAAATTTCTAGACTCCACGCAAGAATTTTCTAATCTAGAATAAGATCAAGACTCCTACAATGAGGAAACTTTTTTAAAAATAGTATTGAGAGATAACAGACTTTTAAAATTAATATGACAGAAAGAAATCACATTAGAGATTCTCCTTAATAGTGAATAACTCCAAAAAAAAAGTTCACTAACAAATAAACAAAGTAGAGATTAAACTCAGTCACGTAATCGGGACTAGGAAGCAAGGTGAAGAATACAAGGGACAAAGGTATTACAGTAAGTGGCAGAGCTTAGCATTGTGCACATATGGGGAGCAACACTGGCACTGACAGTCTCAGAGCTCATCCAAAAAATAATAATAATAATGAAGATAAATAAAGTGCCAAGTGGCAGCTGATATGCATTTTTTAAAAAACTCAATTTAAATGCAAACATGAGACTGGGGAGATAGCTTTGTGGGTAAGAACACTTGCTACACAGCGTGAGGACCTGATTTCAGTTCCCCAGTACCCATGTAAAAAGCCAGGTATTGCTGCTTACACCCATAATTCCAGCACTGCGGACAGGGGAGGCAGGAGGCTCTTCCACCTTCAGTGAGAAATGTTGAGCTCCAAGTTTACTGAGGACCCTGTCCCAAGGGATTGAAGAGTAGGGCGATAAGTACTCACCTGATGTCTTTCTCTGTTGCCTTGAAAAATAGCCTGTTATCTTGCTTCAGAATGCTAAAATAGCACAGCATAGGGCTAGTAGATACTGTTACTAGAGTAATCATAGTATTTAAAAAATATCAGTCATCCTCTTGGCTGATTCAGTAATGTTTTAAGAGGCAAAGGATCTTGGGTAAAAGTAGCTTTATAGTAAAGAATATTGTATAATGTGGAGTTGAGTTTTTCCTGTTTCACTTTAGTCATCCCCTGTGCACATGTGTGCACGCACACTCACACACACAAATTTTCAGGAAAATAAACTTGCCGCATTAAGAAGAAGTTAGTTGATTAATAATGTAATCTAGCTAACATGGGAGAGATGTGTTCATGTTTTCATACTCAGAGTTTGGAGTCAACCTTATTTTAGTTTAAAAAAAACAGCTGAACTTTATCATTTCATGGTATCCTTATTTTTTAGGTGGCCTACCTTATCCAACAAAATGTTATTCCACCTTTCTGCAATTTGCTGACTGTAAAAGATGCACAAGTTGTGCAAGTAGTGCTTGATGGACTAAGTAATATATTAAAAATGGCTGAAGATGAGGCGGAAACCATAGCCAATCTCATAGAGGAGTGTGGTGGTATGTTTATTATGAGGTGTTATATACACGTTAGTGGGATTTTCTTTTTTTTGTATCTATGTTTATTTTCTGAGTAATATAGCACTTCTGTATTTTTCTGTCATAGATAATGGAGTAACAATAAAGTGTACCATATTCTATACATTCAGCCCTGTTTAACCTTCTGTATATTCTTAGGTAACTGAATTGTTGCCATGCAGTGAAGGCACCCTGCTAAGGTAGTAGGAAGACAGTGGTAAACCAAACAGCCCTTCAAGGCATGTAGTTTAGACTTCAAAAGAAATATGAACTGATTTAATGTGCTAATTACCCTAATAGAAATGTACAACAAAATGTGACACCTAATCCATCCTGGAAGAAACAGGAAATGATACCTGAGCTGGACTGTAAGAGACGAGTAAGGATTAATAAGTAAAGTAAAATGGAATGAAAGGTGGTTCAGGCAAAAATAACAACATGAGCAGAGCCTGAGGTGAGAAATACCATTCAGCAAATTTTCAATAATTCGGTATTGCTGAATCAGAGCATGAGATGACAACTGCCTGGGACCAGACCCCGGGAGGTCAAGACCTTTGTCAAACAGTAAATACTTTATTCTGTAGGGCGGTAGTCACCGTAACTGGCTTTGGACCAGAGCTACCTAGAATGTGAACAACACAATACGTTTTAACTCTTAAAGTTAACATCTAGGCAAAAATACTGAAGTGCCAGTTATGACTAGAACAAAATGTGAATGTCAGCCTGATTAATCATAAAATAAATGTCTGGCTCAAGTTGAAATGTGAATGAAAACGTAGAAGGACTTATAAAAGTTAAGTGGGGCTGGGCAGTGGTGGTGCACTCGGGAGGCAGGGCAGGAAGATCTCTGAGTTCGAGGCCAGCCTGGTCTACAGAGTGAGTTCCAGGACAGGCTCCAAAGTTCTGCAGAGAAACCCTGTCTTGAAAAACAAACACACGCACTAGATAGGTAGGTAGGTAGGTAGGTAGGTAGGTAGGTAGGTAGGTAGGTAGGTAG